TCCACCATTCCTCCTCCACCCTTTTTTTCCCGCCCCTTCATTCTCCAACTCTCTTTCGACCTTCCTTTTTCTCCCCCGAACGCCCTCCACCAGTCTCCAACGTTCTTCCACTATCTCCATCCTCCCTTCCCTCCTCCTCTCTCTCACTCTTCACCCCTCTCTCCTTCCACTCTCACCCCTCTCTCCTTCCACTTTCACCCCTCTCCCCTCTCACTCTTCACACCCTCTCCCTTCCACTCTTCACCCTTCCTCCTTCCACTCTTCATCCCTTCTTTCACCCCTCTCCCCTCTCACTCTTCACACCCTCTCCCTTCTCACTCTTCACCCCCTCTCTCCTTCCACTCTTCACTCTTCTCCCTCTCACTCTTCACCCCTCTCCCCGCTTACTCTTCACCCCTTTTCCCCTTCCACTCTTCACCCCCTCTCTCCTTCCACTCTTCCCCCTCTCTCCTTCTTTTTCCCCTCTCACTCTTCACCCTCTTCTCCCCTCTCACTCTTCACCCCCTTTCTCCTTCCACTCTTCACCCTCTTCTCCCCTCTCACTCTTCATCCCCTCTCTCCTTCCATTCTTCACCCCTTTTCCCCTTCCACTCTTCACCCTCTCTCCTTTCCATTCTTCACCCCTTTCCCCTTTCACTTCACCCCTTTTCCCCTCTCCCCTTCTCCCCCCCTCCCAACGTTTCTAATGCGAGTTTATGGTTTAGAATCGGAACGTTTGTCTCAATTTTGTGTTGTTTTGAATCCAATTTGCACGCGAAGGTTTAAGGTTTTGTTCGACCGTCTGTCAAGCTGAGGCACCGTAATTGTTATTGTATTTACAGAATATTATTGTTATTATCAAGACGAAGGCGGAGTGTTATGAAAACGGCGTTTGTTTTTTGTTGTTGATATAGCTGTCAAAATAAGAAGGTGCGCGATGATAACGTTGGTGTTATTTGTAGCAGTGTGATCGTGTTGGTCTTGTATCTTTATTGTTAAAGGGGCCTGTGGTTCGTGTTTTGCGTGTGTCTGTGTGCGTGTGTTCGTATATGTGTGTGCATTTCTGTGCGTGTGTGTCTGTATAAAGTAAGTAAAGAGAGGAAAAAGGGGGAAAGAGAAAGAGGATAGAGAAAAGAAAAAATACGGGAAGAAGAAGGAGAGAATGATTTCAGGAAAAAGAAAGAGAAAGAAAGAGAAAAAAATAGAGAAAAAAGAAGAAGAAAGAAAAAGACGAAACAGACGGATGAGAAAGAGAGAGAATAAAGCGAGGGAAGGAGAGAAAGCCCGTGGGAAGGGCCCCTTGGCCGAGACGCAGCGCGAGCGTGGAGACCTAAGACCTTCCTCCCCCCTCCCCCTCACTCCCGCCCCTCCCTCGCCCCTCCCCACGCCTCCCCACGCCCCTCCCCCGCTAACATCTGCGTGTCTTATATTCCATTAAAGAAAACTCTCTCGCCGTGACCGCTGCCATGACCGCAACGGGCGTGTCCGGCGACCGTGCGGCGGCGGCGGGAGCGGAGGCACGTTTTCTCACGGGCGCCTCACCCCGCTTCCGCGCGCGCGAACCGAAGGCGCTGGCGGGGGAGGCGGGGCGATGGTGGGGTAGGCGGAGGCGGAGGGAGGCGAGGCGGAAGGCGGAGGCGGAGGCGGAGGCGGAGGCGGGAGGCGGAGGCGGAGGCGGAGGCGAATGGTGGGGAGGCGGAGGCGGGGCGATGGTGGGGGAGGCGGAGGCGCTGGGGAGGCGGGGGAGGCGGAAGGGGAGCCGATGGTGGGGGGAGGGGAGTGGAGGCGATGGGGGGGAGGCGGCGGGAGTCCCCTGCGCGCGGAGCCTCGGTGCCAGGGAGGGAGGCGGTGGTGGTGGTGTTATTGGGGTTGTTACGGTTTTGATATGAATATGATTATTGTTATGTTTGTTGTTATTGTTAGTAGTACTAGTTTCGTTATCATTCTTATTTTCATTACAATTGCTATTTAAATGTTCACCGTCTGTGTGTTATTGTTACTGTTATTGTTGTTTGATATTGTCTAAATCAATGTTATTGTTATTATGATTAGCTGTAGTAGCATCATTTTCATTATAATCATCATCATGACCAATTTCATCATCAACATCAATACATCATCATTATCATCATTACTGTTATTCGTGCTAGCATTATTATAAATTACTATCATTAAATACTTCCCTTTCCTTCTTTATCTAATGCATTTTCCCAATACTTTACCTTTATAATATATATATTTTTTCTTATCACCACACTTTACATTCTTTTCTTCCCAGACTAAACCATTTTAACCTCATGCATTCTCTTCAGCCCCCCCCCCCCTCGCCTTCTTTGTCTCCCGTCCTTCCTTCCCTCTTTTTTGTGTCTCTCTATCTCTTCCCTCTTTTCACATCCCATTCCTCTCTCCTTTCCTATTATATTCCTTTTTCCCCATTCCTCTCTCCTTTCTTCTTTTCTTTTTCATTCCCCATTCCTCTTTCCTTTCCTATTTTATTCCTTTTCCCCCATTCCTCTCTCCTTTCTTCTTTTCTTTCTCATTCCCCATTCCTCTCTCCTTTCTTTCTCATTCCCATTCCTCTCTCCTTTCTATTTTATTCCTTTTTCCCTACCTCTCTCCTTACTCTTTTCTTCTCATTCCCATTTCTTTTCTCTCATTTCCCATTCTCTCTCCTTTCCTTTCTTCTCCATTTCCCCATTTCTCTGTTTATTCCTCTCTCTTTCTTCTTTCTTTCTCATTCCCCATTCCTCTCTCCTTTCCTATTTTATTCCTTATTCCCTATTCCTCTCTCCTTTCTTCTTTTCTTTCTCATTCCCCATTCCTCTCTCCTCTTTTCTTCTATTCCCCATTTCTCTCTTTCTTTCTCTTTCTCATTCCCCATTCCTCTCTCCTTTCCCTATTTATTCCTGCTCTCCTTCTTCCTTTTTCTTTTCTTTCTCCTTCCCCATTCCTCTCTCCTTTCTTTCTTTTCTTTCTCATCCCCATTCCTCTCTCCTTTCTCCTTTTTTCTCATTTCCTCTCTCCTTTCCTATTATTCCTTATTCCTTTCCTCTCTCCTTCTTCTTTTATTCCTCATTCCCCATTCCTCTCTCCTTTCTTCACTTCTTTCTCATTCCCCATTCCCCTTTCCTTTTCTTCCTCGTCTGTCCTTTTTGTTGGTTTATTTTTTCCTCTTCATCTTCGTTTTCCTTTTTTCTCATCCTTATTGCTATTCGTTTATCCTTTCCTTCCTCTATTTTTTCCTTTTTCCATTCTTTTCTTTTTTCCTCTTTATCATTCCTCTCTCATTACTACCCTCGTCCTTCCGTGTTCACTTTTGCCATCCCTTTTTCACTTCATTTTAGTTTCCTCATTCCCCTTTCTCCTACTTCTGTCCTCCCTTAATTTCCACTCCACTTTTCTCTCTGTTCCTTCTCCATTTCTCTCGCTCTCTTTTCCCTTCCTCATTCTCATTCTTCTTCGTTTTCACCCTTCCTTATCTTCTTGTCTGTCCTTTCTCCATTCCTCTCCTTTTCCCTCTTACCTTCCTTTTCACTCCTCTTTTTCCTTTCCCCTCTTCCCCTTCCTCTTATTTCCTCCTCCCTTTTCTCTTGCTTGTCCTGTCCCCTCCCAACGCCTTTCCCTCTTCTTTTTATCCCTGTTTCCCTCCCCTTTTCCTCTTCCCCATTCCCCTTTTCTCTTCTCCCATTCCCCTTTCCTCTTCTCTCATTCCCTTTCCTCTTCCTTATTTCCCTTTCCTCTTCCCATTCGCCTTCCTCTTCCCCATTCCCTTTTTCCTCTTCTCCATTTCCCTTTCCTCTTCTCCCATTCCCCTTTTCCTCTTCTCCATTCCCCTTTTCTCTTCTCCATTTCCCTTTCCTCTTCTCCCATTCCCTTTTCCTCTTCTCCCATTCCCCTTTCCTCTTCCCCCATTCCCCTTTCCTCTTCCCCCATTCCCTTTTCTCTTCTCCATTCCCCTTTTCTCTTTCTCCCATTCCCCTTTTCCTCTTCTCCATTCCTCTTCTCCATTCTTCTTCCCATTCCCCTTTCCTCTTCTCCCATTCCCTTTCCTCTTCTCCCATCCATTCCCCTTTCCCCTTCCCTCATTCCCCTTCTCCTCTCCTTCCTCCTTCCTTTCCACCTTTCCGCCGTGTTTCCTATCCCTTTAAATTCTCCCTTCTCCTTCCAGTTCCACCTTTCCGCCGTGTTTCCAAGCGACAGGTGTTCTTGTTTGCGAGCGCGGTTAGAGAGCGCTGTCTCGGGGGCTCTGCGTGACGGCATGTTGGTATTGATAATAGATTAAATTGCGGGTTGGGAAGATATCTCTGTCTGGGCTACAGAACTACTTATTCTCTCTTTTTTTTTTTTTTTTTTATTAGGTTTCTGTCTTTTTTTTTGGGGGGGCTTTCTTTTGCCTTGAGGGTTCTTTTTTTCTTTAGTTTTTTTTTTTTTAGTTTTTTTTTTTTTTTTTTTTTTTTGCTTTCTTTCTTTTGTCTTGAGGGTTGTTCGTTCTTTTTCGAATTTCTTTTTTTTTTCTTTTTTTTATCCCTGTTATATTTATCTTTCCTTTCTGTATTATTTTTTTCCATTAGTCGTAATGACTGTTCTTTTGGGATCTGTACTTTTTTGTTGTTCCTGTATTTTTTTATTTTTATTTTTATTATTTTCCTTTTTATTATGGCCTTTTTCGGCTTCATTGCGCTTCCCGATGCGCCTTTTAGTGTCTGTGGTGGTTTACCAAACAAAGCTTCGCAGATTGTGATGAATGATCAGTAAGCATATCATCATTAATTGTGATGAATGGAAGTGCAGTCAGATTACATGCGATCTCTCCTCTGGTTCGCATCTCTCCTTTCATCATTTCTTCATCTTAATTTAGTTAGAGTTGGTTATCATTAATAATATTTTTGTCGGCCTTCATATTTGGGGCTTATTATTACTGCCTTGTTCGCCTTCGTATTCGGGTTATTGTTGTTAATGCTACTTTGTTTACTCTCCTCTCCGGGCGACGAGACTAACAGCTCCTCTGTTTACGCGTGCAGGCAGTGAGTGACTGGTCGGCGGCCACAGTGATGGTGGGTGACAGGCGGCATCCACTGCTGGCTCAGATGCCCGCCCCGCCCACCCACGCCCAGAGACCGGGCATGGTTGGGGTTCCGGGCGTGGGCGTCAAGCTCATGCAGGAACCCGGCTTTGCCGCCCACGACTCCCACCTGTACGCCCACCGGGACCCCCAGCAGGCGTCTGGAGGCGTGAGGTACCGCGAGGATCACACGGCGTCCTCGTCCTCGGCCTCGGCGCAGGGCCTCAGGTACTTCCACATGGCCGCCGCCGCTGCAGGAGGCGCCGTCGGGGAGGACGAGGGCGGCAGGCGACAGAGGGCGCTGTCCCCGGGGTCGCAGCACTCGGCGGCCGCCACGTTCTTCGCAAGGTAAGCTCCCGCTCCTCACTCTTCTCCGCACGAAGCAGCCAAGGCGCTGGAGACGTGCCTAAGCCCTGACAGGCCTCACGTCCCTCCGCCTCTTGCCTCATTTGATACGTCTCGAAAAATGTGTAGATTATACAACAAAAAAAATACAAAGAAAGAGTTCATACTTGAGGTCTGCGTCTTCTGAATACTACTCCAAATCCTAAGCTATTACCTCGTGCAAAGGACGGATAATACAGCATTTACATCTCGCCCATAAAGGTGTCAAAAGACGAAAATCATTACCTGCATTATGAATAGAATATCTGACTCTACTTGCATGAATAACATGTCTGCTAACGGATACTTGATATTAAGAAAGAGCTCGTGAAATTGCATATATAAAAAAGTATAGATCTGTACGTCTTTGCATTATAATTAATCTATTACAAGACGCTCTCCTTAAGAATTATGCATGAATTTAAGGCCCTCCAAGGAAAAGATGATTAAAATTCATGAACAGTTAGTCAATCAGTCATTGATGATGCATGCAGGAAAGTCATTAAGTTGCAATGCCCAAAGATTAATCCAGTGCGATCGATTAAGAGGATTACAATTATTCAAAGGGGATGCTATGAATAATATATATAGTACGTTATAGTAATTTTTCAGTGTCGAGATTTTTTTTAATATCCTCAAAAAAATATTAACTCATATAGAGTCTTTTGGTTTCCATGTATTTAAAACCGTGTGTATATTTGCGTTATGGGAGCGTTTGGGAAGGGGCCGCGTGTGTGTGCGTGTGTGTGTGCGTGTTTTGTTTTTATTTGTGTGTGTGTTTTGTTTTTTTTTGTGTTTTGTTTTTTTGTGTGTGTGTTCTCGTCTGTGTATGTGTTTTGTGTGTGAGAGCGTGTGTGTGTGTGTGTGTGTGTGCATGTGTGTGTCTACGCGTGTATATTTATGTACGTATGTATGTGTATGCGTTTAGAGACGCGTGCTTATGAATACCTCAGTCCTCCCTCAAGATAAATACACGCAAAAACGAAGGGGAAAAAAACTTAAACCTTCTTCAAGGCGGCTACACTCATGCCATTGAAGGTGCTAAGGTCCATATGTAACTTATCAGACACGGAATTATGGTCTTACAGCCCTGGCGCCGCCTTAAGTCACCAAGTCAACATAACTTGTGACCGATATGAAGACCCTTTGCCGGCTGGGGTGGGGGTGGAGGGGGTGGAGGGGGCGGGGATGTTTGGTAGCCACTTTTCAGGGAAAAATATGCAAGACCAGAATATTTAAATCGTGTACATTTTGAGTCCCGTTTTTTTTTTTTTTTTTTTTTTTTTTTTTTTTTTTTTTTTTTTTTGACTCTGAGGTATTAATAAACGCGCTGGCCATTTGGTCCTTCAGTAATGCAGTCGTTCACAAAGAGAATATACCATGATTTAAAAAGGTAAAGTATGCTTTTATGTCAATATCATTGGTATAATATCATCCGAGGTACTCAACATGCAAGGGAAATATAACGTATAAGCGTCTTGCACCTTTTGATTTCGATGTTGCAGACTTATTAACGAGATTTAATCCTCAAAAATCGACGTTTTTTCGCTTGTTCTCTCCTTTTTTTCTTCTCTTTTCATTTGGGTTGCCTCACTCCATGACACATCTTTTCTCTCCCTATTACCTTCCCCTTCGTACCCCCCACCCCCCCACCCCCGCTTGTGCTCACGTTTGTTTACATCTTGAGGGTTTGAGTTCGTCGTGTTTACGTCAGGTTCCTTCGCCGTCTCTTGGACCTTCGTCGTCTTCTCTCTTTCTCTCTTTCATTCTCTCCGCGTCTGTGTCCTTGTCGTTCTTTTCGCCTTTTCGTTCTCTCTCTGTTTTAGTTTTTTTTTTGTATTTTATATCTCCTCTCCTCTCCTCCTCTTCTTCTTCCTCCTCCTCCTCCTCCTCTCCTCTCCTCCTCCTCCTCCTCCTCCTCCTCCGCTACTCCTCTCCTCCTCCTCCTCCTCCTCCTCCTCCCCTCCCCCCTTCATCTCTCTTTCCCTCCATCTTCTTCTCTCTTTTTCCTTTTTCCTTATCATCCTTCTCCATCAGAAAACCCCCATCCTTCTTTCAGCCTGCGCTCCCCCTCCTTCCATCTCCTTCCCGCCGCCCTCCCCCCTCCTTCCTCGTCCCTCCTCCCTCCTTCCCCCCGCCCTCGCCCCTCCCTTCCCTCCTCCTCCTCCCCCTCCTTCCCGCCGCCCTCGCCTCCCTTCCCCTCCCCCCTTCCCCCCTTCCCCCGCCGCCGCCTCGCCGTGCCTTCAAAAAGACCGCTGCAGTCGCTTGCTGTTATCCGCGTCACTGCCCTCGCATTCACAAGGACAAATTTATCGTGTCACCTACGCGTTGCCTCATCTCGCCGGGACACGCACACGCACGCACACGTACACAGACGCACATGTACACTGACGCACATGTACACTGACGCACACGTACACTGACGCACATGTACCTGAGAAGCACATGAAATGCATGTTGTATGTTCAAAGAGACACGAACCACGTGGACGCTATGATTCCTAATAGAAAACTAATGTCCGGGTAGGATGTACACGCACGAAAGAATGTAAAAAAAAACGCAGTGATAGAAGGAGAGAAAGAAAATGACTAAAAGAGCAGTGGGTATGTACGTAACGCACTGTCATGTACACACAGATACGTACATAGAAAGAGAGACAGACAGACTGAAAGACTTAGACAGAAGCAAGGAGAGAGAGAGAGAGAGAGAGAGAGAGAGAGAGAGAGAGAGAGAGAGAGAGAGAGAGAGAGAGAGAGAGAGAGAGAGAGAGAGAGAGAGAGAGAGAGAGAGACAGACAGACAGACAGACAGACAGACAGACAGACAGAGACAGAGAAGAGAAGTGAGAGAGGAGAGAAGAGAAAAGGAGGAAGTGTGAGAGAGAGAGAGAGATAATGAAAGAGAGAGAGAAAAAGAGAAAGTGAGTCAAAGAGAAAAAAAAAAGACGAAGAAAGAGAGAGACAAAAAGGAACAGTGCCACCAAAATTAGCCGCCGACCCATATGCCAGGTTAAAAACAAGCATCGCGAGTGGCACTTGTTTTGTTTTGAGAGCCAGCAGCGGCGGCAGCGAGGTGATTGCTTACTTTGTCGGCTGATTTATATCGCTTGTTTAATCACTAATCCGTTGGACCGCCACACGGCCGGGAGGAGGGGGGGGGGGGGTTGAGATATTCATTAAACAATT